CATCTAACATTAGCTATAATATCCCTAGTACCGCGACCTCTTCTAAATCCAGCCTGCACATCTGGCAGTTCTCTGTTGACATATTGTTCCAAACGTTTTTGGATAATTTTCAGCAGAATCTTGCTTGCACATGATATTAATTATATTGTCCAATAATTTCCGCACTCTGTTGGGTCACCTTTCTTTGGAATGGGAACAAATATCGATCTTTTCCAGTCAGTGGACCAGTGGCTGTTCTCCAGATTTCTTGGCATGACTTAGTGAGCACATCCAGGGCAGTGTCTGTTTGTTGAAATATGTCAATTGGTATGCCGTCAACTCCTGGAGCTTGTTTTTTGCCAATTCCTTCGGAGCAATTTGAACTTCCTCTTTTATCACCATAGGCTCTTGCAGAATCACAGAAATCCTAATGGCTTGAGACTTAGGCCATCACATCAGGGGCTGGTCAATGGGAGATGGGTATGGAATGGTGTAGGAAAAAGGAGGAAGGGATGGTGGTGGAGTAAGGAAGCGTGGGTGGGCAGCAACATTGAATCTATTGGTCATTGTTATAACTGTGTAATTGTCTTTCATCTGCTCTTTTCTGTGGAATGCTTGTCCGTCAGATACTATTATATATATTTAAAGATTGAGACAGACTAGGAAGAAGGATTTCCCATCCACTTCTGAAAAGACAGGCCTTCGAAAACCCTATGTACAGTAGAGCACACATAGACTACCGCTTGGACTAGCAGGCATGGCAAATGAGACTGAGATCTTAGAAACAGAAATACCGAGAAGAAGGAACAACTGTAAGCAGACACTAGTGATTGGAACGTGGAACGTGAGAAGCATGAATGTAGGAAAATTGGACATTGTTAAGAAAGAAATGGAATGCATAAATATTGACATATTAGGTATTGGCAAAATGAGATGGCTTGGCATGGGACATTTTGAATCAGACGATTATATGATTTACTATGCCGGGGATGAAAAGGTGAGGAAGAATGGGGTTGGTTTCATAATTTAAAAAGTCATTTCTAGATCCATCCTGAAATACAATGTGGTGAGCAACAGGATAATATCCATATGCATACAAGGAAGTTCAGTGAATACCACTATAATTCAAATATATGCACCAACAACTAGAGCCAAAGAGGAGGAAATAGAAAATTTTCTACCAACTTTTGCAGTCAGAAGTTGATCAAACATCAATCCCAGAGGAACACGGTTCGAATCCACCAGACGCTCTGCCGGAGAAGGAGGCGCAATATCCTCCTGTACCAGTCAGATCTGATTTGACGGTACACGCACACAAAATTTAAAAAAAAAAAGTTGATCAAACATGCAATCAAGATGCATTGATAATAATGGGAAACTGGAACGCAAAAGTTGGGAACAGGGAAGAAGGATCAGAAGCTGGAAAGTACAGGTTCGGTGAGAGAAATGAGGTTGGAGATAGAATGACAGGGTTCTGCAAATACCTTTTGTAAGAAACATGAACGCAAAAGAAAAAGAAAAATGAATGCAGGCTATACACATGGATCTCACCTGATGGCATGCATAGGAATCAAATAGATTACATTTGTGGAAAGACTTGATGGAGAAGCTCAATAACAGCAGTGAAAACCAGGCCGGGTGCTGATTGTGGGACAGACCACCAACTACTCATATGCAAGTTCAAGCTGAAGTTGAGGAAAACTAAATCAAGTCCACAGGAACCAAAATTTGATCTTAAGTCTATCCCACTCAAATTTCAAAACCATCTCAGGAACAGGTTTGAGGCCTTGAGCACCAATGAGCGTAGACCAAACGAGTTCTGGGAGGATATCAAGAAGCTCGTCCATGAAGAATGCAAAAGATCATTACAAAGGCTTAAAAAGAAGAAAAGACCAAGATGGATGTCAGGTGAGACTCTGAATATTGCATTAGAGTGCCAAGAAGCCAAAGTTACAGGAAGAAACCAAGAAATAAAAGAGCCAAACAGAAAATTTCAAAAGGTCGCCCGGGATGAAAAAGAAAGATACTATAATGAAATGTACAGAGAGCTAGAGTCAGAAAATCAAAAGGGCTGAACTCGCTCAGCGCTTCTTAAGTTGAAAGAGCTAAAAAACAAATTCAAGCCACGGGTGGCAATACTTAAGGATACTCTGGGTAGAATGTTAAATGATCCAGGAAGTATCAAGAGAAGATGGAAGGGATACACAGAGTCACTGTATCAGAAGGAATTGGCTGACACAGAAGAATTTCATGAAATGGGGGGGGGGGTGTTAGGGAGGAAAATGTGCAACAATGAAGGAATGGAAAGCTTTATAAACTTTCATTAAAATGTCAATAGAAAAATATATATAAAAAGCCAAGTAGTATATAGGTATTTCCTTCAAAATGATGGCTGTTCACAAATAATACAACCACAATCAAATGGACTGAGAAATTGTGGTACATTCACACAATGGAATACTATGCAGGATGCAGGAGTAATGATTTACAAAATGACTACATAACTTGGGAGGGACTGGATAGCATTATATTAAGTAAACTAATTCAGTATCAGGACAGATACTTTATTGTAGAAATAGAAAGATAACTAGTAAAACAAGTATGAAGATCCAAACAGGGTAGGGTAGGAGCAGAGGGGTGAGGATGGGCGGGGCTGGGGGGAATCACAGGGCTGCACAATTTGATGAGTCAAGGAAGAGAAGAGTGGATGAAGGATATGGGAAAATTCCGGCAGGGAGCAGGAAAGACAGGGCAATGGTGGGCATAGTTCAGTGTTGATTAACATTCACACTATGAAACACAGTGTGAATGAAGATAGTGTGAAAAATAATGTGTATGAACTTTGTAAGCAATGCAGTATAAAATAAAAATTTATTTTAAAAATTATGGCTGTTCAAATCTAGTTAAAATTTCTCATTTCTGGTTTCAAAAAAGACTACCAGTTTCCTCATGTAAGGGAGGCTAGAAACTTTTAAGTCTAGATTCCCACCTCTTCACCAATGGGGGCAAAACTTGTTTCCTTTTTTTGATATGTGAAATAAAGAGTTTATAACAGAGTAAACCCATGAGTCAGAAAACAATGTTGTTGTTATTTGCTGTCAAGTCAGAACCAATTCATGGCTGCCCCTCCAGTGGGCTTTCAAGGGCTCTAAACTGTGTGGGAGGAGACTGCTAATCTTTTTCCCTTAGTGCCGCTGACGGATTCGAACTGCATGCCTTTAGGTTGGTAGTGCAACTCACAGAAAACAACAGTACCTGGAAACTCAATGCAAGAAAAGGGCTGGTAGCCTTTAGCAGGGAAGGAAGGAAGGAAAGTCAAGGAAAAGATTCTGGAAAGCAGCAGCATGGACATTCCTATTTTGCTCTCATGTTCTGTTTCATTTGAAATTATAACAAGGGCAGAAAATGTGCTTAATTAAAACCACTCTGAGCCTTTTTTTGTATTACTCACATCACTGTTCCTGACCCTTTCAATAATATGGGCCAGACATTATGAGGAGACATACTGGGGAGCACTGGGACCCCTTGCCTGATGGTCCCCAAATCATAACTTCAGAGAGCCCTGGGGCTGGCTGGCTGTGGTGTACATGCCACTGCTGTACCAAGAACCACCAAGCAGCTGGGGGTTTAGGCCACATCTTGGCACCAGCCAGTTTGCTGAATTCCTACCAACTTTCTGTAGCCCTAGGAAGAATTTCTGTTTCTTATCAAAATTAGAGTCTGTAGGCAACAGATGTTCAGGATACATAAGTCTTTACATATGTCAAAAAACTCAAAACAAGTGTATGCTGCATGGTTTAAAATTAGGAGAGGTGTGCATCAGGTCTGTAACTTTTCTCTTTGGTTATTCAATCTGTACTGTAAGCAAATAATTCCAGAAGCTGGACTATATGAAAAAGATTGTGGCTTCAGGATTGGAGGCCCATCAACAGCCTGTGTTATGCAAATGACACAACCTTACTTGCAGAAAATGAAGACCAGATTACACCCTAACATCTGTTGCTGTTGCTGTTAGGTGTAGTCAAGTCCTTAGCCACTCACAGAGACCCTACGTATGTTAGCTCAGAACCCTGCCCTCTCCTGAGCCAATCTCATTGTCTCCAACAGACCTAATCCCATTTCTCCAGTCACTGTGTCGATCCATCTCATCTGGGGTCTTCCTCTCCTGTGCTGTCTCTCCACCCTTCCAAGCATGATGTCCTTCTCCAAGGACTGGTCCCTCCTGGCCATGTGCCCAGAAAATTAAAATCTTTGCCGGGATCAATAGGGATCATCATAATAGATGGGGGAAAAAAGACTGACATTATCAAAGATTCCATTTCACTTGGATTACAATCAACACGCACAGCAGTAGCAGCAGCCAAGAAATGAAAAGCTGTGTGGCATTGGGAAAATCTGCTGTCAGGGACCTCTTTAAAGGGCTAAAGAGCAGGGCTATCAGTTTAAGACTAAGGTGAGCCTGATCCAAGTCACGCTACTTTTCAGTTGCCTCACATGCATGTGAAAGTTGGACAATGAATAAAGAAGACTGAAGAAGAATCTATGCCTTTAAATTGCAATATTGGAGAGTATTGTGTATACCACAGATGGTCAAATGAACAAACAGGTCGACTTTGGAGGAGTAACAACCAGGGTGACCTTCAGAGGCAAGGCTGATCAACTTCAGCTCACGTACTTTGAGTATGTTGTTAGGAGGCACCAGTTCTTAGAAAAAGCCGCCACGCTGCATGAAAAGGAGAGCGTCAGGGAAAGAGAGGAAGATCCTCGATGTGAGGCAGTAACTGCAACAAAGGCTTTACCACGGTGATCTGGAGGTTAGTGTAGGGCAGGACCTTTTATGATCTGTTGTTCAGAGTCACAAGGAGTTATAGTTGACTTGATGGCACCTACAAACAACAACTCGTCAAGCTTGTACACATGTGTTAAGGTAAGCTCTATTTTGGATCTGAGCTAGAACATGAAATGAATGGTTGAGCCTTTACTTGGAATTTTCAGTGCACCTTTATAAAGCTCTCATTCTGGAAAGGATTAAGGCAGATTTCATGTGGATGGTAACTGAAAAAGAGAGAGAAGACACAATTTTCTCACTCCTAGTCCTGTGATTCTCTAGCTTACCTGTCTTTCCTGCTCCAAATGGTCTATGTCGGCCAACGGCAGTATGGAAGGTCTCCCATGAGCACACTGGAATGGCAGCTGGCACCAGGACAAAGCTTCAATCAGGCGATGGCTCTCCTCTAGGCTCAGCCCATCATTAAACTTAATGGCCCCTAAACGCGAGAGAGAGTTATGGTGTGTGCAGTTGGAGACCAGTGCTGACCCTGGGTCAGAGCCAAATATCTGGAAAAAGTAACATGCTTCTTAGGAGTCTTTAATGTGGCTTCAGCCCTGCTTGAAATTGGTGCTTATGGTCATGGGTGAAACGAAGGCTTCAGGACTGACCTTCTGTCTCTTGGCTTTTTCTTATGGAATATTTGTCCTTCCAATCCCTGTAGGAGGCATTCCTTACCTTGTTAAGATCTTGTTTTCAGGATTTTTCTCAAAGAAGCAAAAATATTGCTTTGATCCTTACAGGTTTGTGAAAATGAAGTCTTTCTTGTCTACAGCTGGTACATTACCAAGATCTCTGTTTCTCTACAACATCTATTTTTTTTTTAAAAAAAACCAACATTCCATAATAACCTTTTTTAAAAAGGAATTTTAATTGTTACCAATCAAATCCGAGGAGACAAGGACCAGTCAGCAGGGCTACAAGAGACTGACTTAGAGAGCATGGCCACTCCAGACTTGAGCATGAGACTGTCTTCTTTATGCTGAGTTTCCACTATGAGACTGAACGGTGGGGAATTCAATGTGAGCCAGATTCGAGATCCTTTGCTGACTGCCACTCTCCTTTCCTCAGAGGCCACTCACTCTCCCACCCACTCTCCTGCGCCAGCTTTCCAGTAAAGTGGCCACCGGGCATCACTCCCCATAATAACCTTTTTAATACAAACTCTCATGTTGTTAGAATCTGCACTTGGTAATTTACTCAGTTGGCAAGTATTTATTAAGTGCCAGGCAGTGAATGAGGCAAATGATCTTCACCCTCAGAGAGCTAACAACCTAGTATAGGACACAAACACTGAACAAATAGTTACAATGAAAAAATATAAATAAAGTGCTAGTCAATAGGCCTTTTATTGTAAGAACTACTTTCCCTCTGTAACTTGATTTGTGCCACTATTAGAGCCTCTACTTGGAATATTACTGCTTTTTAATTTTTGACTCATGTACTTTCAACTTGTTAAATTTGTGTCTTCTAGGCTGTAACAGTTCCATGATACATCTTCAAGGATATGAGCATGTACAGCTAAGCACAATTGATAACAGTGCATCTAAATTCCAAAATCAATCTCCATAATAGTCTATGTGTTTCCTATTGCCAAAGGGGCCCTTTAGAGTAGTGAGAGAAGATCTTCCCCCTGAAACCTACAGCGTCCCTTTTCAGCAGGAAGTAGCTAAGAGAATACGCCATCCCCTTTTCCTTATGAATCAGGGTGAAGTCTCTCTCAGGGTGGAGTGATAGGGAATGGCAAAGGACACACTGACAAAGGAGATTAATCAGAACTGGCTTTGACAAGCACTGTGGCAACTGGACAATTAAAACAGACTTTCAAGGGGAGGAAAAAAAGAACAAACTGGGGAGGAGGGTAGAGAAAATAGTGTTAACAATGAATGAATGAAAACCCAAAATCTCTGTAAATGTTCATTAAAATTAGTAAAATTTAAAAAAAGAAAAATATAAATATTACAAAGCATAAGATAGAAATGTATAATAGAAAGGCCTCAAGGTGTGAGTCAGGGATGTGTCCTTTTCCATGTCTCTTCAATCTATATGCGGAACAGATCATTTGGAAGGCTGGCCTTTATGAGAAGAAATGTAGCATCAGCATTGGAGGGAGATTCATCAATAACCTATGTTATGCAGATGATATAACCTTTCTTGCTTAAACTGAGGAGGACTCGAAGTGCTTGCTGCAGAAGGTCAAGGACTGCAGCCTTCAATATGGATTGAAGATCAACATCAAGAAAACAAAGATTCTCACCACTGGGTCAATAGGCAGCACCAAGATAGATGGAGAAGAGACTGCTATTGTTAACAATTTCAGCTTGCTTGAATCCACTATTAACACTTTTAGAACCAGCAGCCAAGAAAACAAAAGACAAATTGGATTAGTAAAGTCGGCTGTCAGGGACTCTCCAGAGTGCTGAAGTACAAAGATGTCAGTCTCTAGTGACTAAGATGTGCCTGATCCAGGCCATGGTCTTTACAATTATTTGTGATGCCTTTGAGTTGTGGTGCTGGAGGAGAGTGTTTGACATACCATGGACGCCAAGAGAACGAACAGGTCTACCCTGGAAAGGGTGAATCCAAGTTGCTCTCTGGAGGCTAGGATAGCGAAGCTCTATCTCATATACTTTGGACACACTGCCCAGTCTTTGGAGAAGGCTATCATGCTTGGACAGGTGGAGAGATAACACAGGGAGAGGAAGACCCTGCATGAAATGGGTTGACACAGTATGGCAGGTATGTCAGAGACAGTGAGATTGGCTCAGGATAGGACAGGGTTCAGAGCTATTCTATGAGTCACAGGTGGCTCGACGGCACACAACAACATTCCGTTTAGGAGATCAGGGAAGTCTTCCCTGGCAAAATTATATTTAAGTTAAGAATTTAGATTAAGAAAGATTTTGCTAACTGAAGGAGTAGAAAGGCAAGTGCAGAGGGCTGGGCAATGCAAAGGCTGGGAGGATGACACATATGTAGCACACAGGAGGGACAAGTCTAAGGCAGTGAGACTGGTATGGAGACAGCCAGGTGAAGAGAATGTGGGAAGAAATGGGAAAGGCAGGCAGCAGTCTGATCATGAAGAATCTTGTAGACCAGGTTTGGAATAACATTTTTATCTTTTTTTGGTTAGAAGAATGGTTATTAGCAGAGGGACACTTCAGAAAGGTCTGCAGGGTCCACCTGAGGCACTCTCTCCCCCCCTGGCAGTATCCATAAGGTTTCAGTCCCCTCTGACTTCCCAGGGGTGTTTCACCTCGTTTCTTTACTTCATCTTTAACTCTTCTGCACAGCCTACCCATCTTTCACTAACCCTCCTTTGCATTACCTTAATAAACCTCTTCTGTTTGTTTTCCTAAAAAAAAAATTTTTTTTTAAAAAAAAGGTCCCCTGAGGACTGAGGAAAGAATAACCTGGAAGGGAGTCTGAGTGGTTGTGCCAAGACTAAGAGGACTCAACTGTCGCAGGAAATAGGGATGTGGCAGTGGGGACAGACTGACTTGAACAGACTTGAGATAAGTTTTGAAGGCAGAGATTATAAAAGATTGGCAATAGGATAAACAGGAACAATGAAGTCTGGTGAGGAGCAAAAGAGCTCAGGTTATGTGCTGGAGACAGACCAGAATTTGCAGGAGATGGACTATATCTTTAAGCAAATGACAGGAAGTAAGCGGAGAAGAGAAAGCCGATGGAGAGGGAGGAACCAGAGAAGGGTGACGATGGGTGAGTGAGGACCCCACTGTGGTCGCAGGAGGGTCTGCAGCTGTTATGACTCTAACAGTAAGTTTTTCCCACGTCATGTCCTGTGTTTCACCATATTAATCTATATATGGGAGCTCTCGTAGCCTAATGCTAAGAAGCTGCAACGCAATCCCAAAGGCATGTGATTCAAATCCACCAGCCACTCCAATGGACAAAGACTGGCAATCTTTCCTGTGTGATTAACTGCCTCTGAAAACCTGCTGGAGGGCCAGCTATGGGTTGTTTTGACTTGATGGTATACATCAACAACTACCCTATTCATGAATCCTCCTTTCTAGACTTCTGTTCTTTTTTATTATTGCTGTTATGTGCCTTCAAGTTGCCTGTAACTCATAGTGACCCTATATACAACAGCTCTGAAGCCTGTTCTGTCCTGAGCCAGTCTCACTGACTCCAACACACCTACCCCCATTTTTCTACTCACTATATCAATCCATCTCATCCAGGCTCTTCCTCTCCTGTGCTGTCCCTCCACCCTTCCAAGAATGATATCCTTCTCCAAGGACTGGTCCCTCCTGGCCACATGCCCAAAGTATGTAAAACAGAACTTTAAAATCCAACCTCTAAGGAGAAACTTGATTTCACCCTCTCCAAGACAGACCTATTTGTTTTCTTGGTGGTCTATGGTATGCTTAATATTCTTCTCCAGCACCAGAACGGAAAGGCATCAATTATTCTCCTATCATCCTTAGTCATTGTCAAGCTTTCTGATGCATAGTAACTGCAAAGACCATGGCCTGACTCGGCACACCTTAGTCTCTAGACTGACATCATTGCTTCTCAGTACTCTGGAGAGGTCTCTGACAGCAGATTTTCCCAATGCAATTCATCTTTTGATTTCCTAACAGTTAGCTGGTACCAAGAATGTTAACTGTAGAGCCAAGCAAGCTGTAACTGTTAACAACCTCAATTTCTTCTGTATCTATCATGGTGAAACCAATTGGCCCAGTGGTTACAATCTTTGTCTTCCTGATGTTGAGCTTCAATCCATATTGAAGACTACAGTCCTTGACCTTCTGCAGCAAGTGCTTCAGGTCCTCCTCAGTTTCAGCAAACAAGGCTGTGTCTTCCACATAATGTAGGTTGTAGGCTGTTCTTTTTTTACCAGCCTAATTGATATTTTTCTCTCTTCCTCATATAACTGATTTGTTTCTACATTTGGGTCTTTGCACACACTTTCCTCTCTTTGCTGTGAAGTTCCCTCTTCAACCTATGTCTCTATATCCCTTGACTTAGTCAAAACTCACCTTCAAAATGGACTTACACTGAGCCAAAAGAGAAAGAAGAAAAATACTAAGTGCTGATATGGAGAAATGATTTCCTTATAAATTCTTACATAATTAGGGAAAAAAACCCAAACACAACAAAATGTACTTAAACTTTGACCCCTCTCAACCTTTAGACAAGCCAAGCAATAGATAAGAATAATAACCCCATCCAAGTGTGCAGCGTGCACTCCTTAGACCCACCGACCAATCAACCACTCAAGATCAGAAAGATGGCATTTGCCCAGGAATAAAGCTCGCCAAGCAAGAAAAGACAAGAAGAAAGATGAATTGAAATAGAATGGAAATGTTAAACACCATTCTCATGGAGGACTACAATCAATGTCATGAAAACAAAATCTGTGTGAAACTGTTGAATGGAAATCCAATTTGCTCCGTCAGTTTTCACTCAGAATTACAACAAAAAGCTTTTACTGTTGGTTTTGAATGCAGTTATAGTTCTACTCAGAAAGGTCAGTTAACATAGGTATGTTGGCATGTTGCTTCACTGTAGAACAACGATCTGGGAATCTGTTCCTGTAAAGACAATAGCTGAGCAAATCCTCGGGAGTTTTAGTCTGTACACAGGAGGTAACTGGGGATCAGGATAAGCATGATGGCAATGTGTTCACTGTCTTTTGCTTTGTGAAAGTAAATTTATTTTACTTTTTTTTTTTTTTAGTGCATACAATTTCTTGCCTTCTACCTCATTCATAATCGACCAGTGCTTAGCTTGTAAGGCACTCAAGAGCTGGGACATTTGAGGGGCTTACCGTGGCAGGCCTGAGATGCCAACACCTTCTGGACAGTCAATGGCAAAGTCCCCTGGATGCCTCCTGTGGTCTGGAGTAACTAAAGCAAAAACACATTTTTTGGTATAGGTTAAGGAAGTGAGACAATGGAGCCTTCTGTGCGGTGCCTCTGTGTGCATACCCAGAATAAGAAAAGGGCTTACTTACCTCCACCTGTTCTCGAATATATTCCTACAAAGCAAAAAGAAGCAGGCATTACACTACTGATATTCTGTATTTGCCCACAGACAGTTTACAAAACATTCCAATTTTCTCCTTTAAAATATGCCTCCCGAGGGTGCTTCTGAGTAGATCTGAACTATCAATGCTTCAGTTAGCAGACAACTGTGTCAACTGTTTGCATCACTTATTGCTGTTGTTAGGTTCTATCAAATTGGTTCCAACTCAGAGGCACCCTATGTCCAGCAGAACGAAACCCTGCCCGAGCTTGTGCCATCATTGCGTCTACTGTTCTGAAGTGAAGCCCACTGATACAGTCACTGTGTATATGCAGCTCATTAAAGGTCTTCCTCTTAGGTGATTCTCGACCAAGCACGACGTCCTTCTCTAGGGACTGAGCCTTCCTGATAACATGTCCAAAGTCTCATTATCCTTGTGTCTAAGGAGCATTCTGGCTGCACTTTCTCCAGTATACATTTGTTTTGTTCTTGTGGTTCTCAACTCACTGCAGTCAAGTTGGAACTGACTCATAGCTGACACCCTTATCGGGTTCCCAAGGCTACACACTCACTGCACAGGAGGAGACTGCCCATATTTCTCCCTCAGAGCAGCTGGTGGATCTGTTTCAGCCGCTGGGTTAGCAGTGCAACTCCCTACGGACAAGGCCACTAGCATCCGGCTTCTTGGATGACCTGCTCAGGACACTGAATGGGAACAGTGGAAGGACACACTCCTGATGCACACCTATCCTGATTTTAAACCCTGCACTATCCCATTATTCTGTTCTTACAGCAATTTCCGCATGACCACAATTAACTATTCTGCAATTCTCATTCTTCTCGATGTTATCCATAATTTATTATGAGCCACAGTTGGACGGCTTTGTATAGTCAATAAAACACAAGTAAACATCTTTCTGGTATTCCCTGCTTTCAGCCAAGACTTATCTGACATCAACAATAATATCTCTTATTCCACATCCTGTTCTGAATTCAGCTTGAATTTCTGGCAGTTCCCTATCCCTGTACTGCTCCAGCTGTTTTAAAGATTTTCAGCAAGATTTCACTTGGATATGATAGTAATAATATTATTTGATAATTTCTGAAGTCTGCTGGATCACCTTTTTTTAAAAAAATAAAGTAGGCTCCTGTAGACTTGTTTTCATTTTTTTCTGCTTTAATTTGAATTTGCATATGAGCAATATGCAATATCATCTAAGGATTGCTAGTCTATCAAATGGTGTAAAAAATGTCAAAACTCATATGGATGTACAAAAGAGTGGACACTAATATAAATTTTTGAAACTTTGTTAATGATAATGTGTCAGCATTGGTTCAGCAAGCACAACAAATGTACCACACACAAATGCAAAATATTACCAATAAGGAAAAACTGTGTAGTTGGGAGAAGAGGTACAGGAAGATTGAAGCAAAATCGAGGCCTTTGAACCATGGTGATGCTGAAGAATATGAAATACACCATCAAATGGCACTAGAACAAGCCCGTCTTGGGAATACAGTGAGAATGTTCCTTGGAAGTGAGGCCAGTGAGACTTTGTCTCCCACACTCTGGGCACAGTATCAGGAGGAACCAGTCCTGGAGGAATGTCATCAGTAAAGAAGAGGGTCCGTGAAGGAGAGGCAGACCCTCACCAAGATGGGCTGACATGCCTGCAGCCACAGGCTCCACAGCACTGACTAAGGATGTAGCAGGACTGCAGCACGTTATTCTGGTCCACGTCGGTCACGACGAGTCAGAGGCTCCTAACAACAGCAACTCTTCCGTAATTTGTCTATCAACCCAAAACTGTTTCCTAAAACAGACCCTCAATGAGATGAACTGACACAGTGGCCGTAGTAACAGACCAAGCACAGCAGAGGTGATGGAATGGTGCAGGACTGAACAATATCAATTTCAGTTGTGCTTGGAGGCTGCTATGAGTTGGAGCTGACTGAGTGCTGCCTAGCAACAACTGTTATGTGCTATCAAGTACAACACCTCGTGTCCCCATGAATGATGTGAACAATGGACCTGTGTCCTATCCTGTACTCTCCTCCTTGTCTCTGACACACTTGAACCCATTCACTGTGTCACATCCTGTTTAGAGTCTTCCTCTCTTCATCCCCACCTTCCTAAACATGGAGTCCCTTTCCAAGGAGTAGCCCCTTGAGCTACATGCCCAAAGTAGGGAAAACGTCCTTGCCGCCAAGGAGCACTCTGGCCGCACTTTATTCAAAACTTATCTGTTCTTTTGGCAGTCCATGAGGTATGCAGTACTCTTTTCCAACATCACAGCTCAAACACGTTGATTCTTCTTCGGTCATCCTTACTCACTGTCCAGCTCTCAAATGCATAGCAAGTGACTGAAAAGACCTTGCCCAGAATCAGGTGTGCCTTCATCTTTAAACTGACATCATCAGTCTTCAGTACTTTGGACAGGTTTCTGACAGCATGCTCTTTCATGTCTTCTGATTTCTTGGCTGCTGGTACCAAGGTATTGATTTTGAGCCCCAGTAAGATGAAACCTTTGACAATTTCAATCTTTTCTCCAACTATCATGATGTTGCTTAGCAGCCCAATGGTGAGGATTTTTGTCTTCTTGAGATGTAATCCACACTAAAGGCTGTGGTCTTTGATCTTCTGAAGCAAGTATTTCAAGTCCTCCTCACTTTCAGCAAGCAAGTTGTGTCATCTGCATAATTCATATTGTTGATGAATCTTCCTTCTTCCTGATGCCACACACTTATTCATAAAGTCTAGCTTCTTGAATGATTTGCTCAGCATACAGATTGAACAGGTATGGAGAAACGATACATCCCTGATGCACTCCTTTCTTGATTTTAAACCATGCACTCTTCCTTTGCTCTGTTCAGATAACAGCTTCTTGGTCTAGGTATAGGTTTTAAATGAGCATAATTAAATGTTCTGGCATTCCCATTCTTCTCAATGTTTTGTTTTTTCTTTATAGAAATGTACCATTTTATTACAAAGATTCCCACAAACATGAAAATAGTATCTGAAAAAAGGAAACTAGACTATCAAACTCCACCTGCAGAACTGGGGTAGAATAAGGGGCAGGTAGTGAGTTCCTTGGCTCACCAATCTAAAGTGGTTGAAAAGAACTAGGAATCCCTGAGGGCCCAGCACCCCCATCCTAGGATGTGCACGTCAGGATTCTGTCCTGTGTCTTGTTTAAAAGACAGCAGCTACAGTGCACCGAGCAGAGCTGCCCTGGGCTGGGCTCAGGGACTTTGTTCTGGTCTAGTCCCTGGGGATATTTATATTTAATATACTTTTATATAAATACACAGAGAAATAGAAAATATATAAACTCTTGAGGGGTTGGGGAGAAACGTGGGGAACTTTGCAAGAAGCCAGAACTAGCAAGGTCTGCTCAGGTTACTTGACCTCCTCCTTGACCCGTTTGGCTTCTCCTCCTTGGTTTTCTCCTCTTCTGTGACTTCTTTCTTTTCTTCTGGGTCTTTCTCTTTTTCATCCTCTATTTTGACTCTCTTGGCTTTTTTAAAGTTAGAAGAGTTCTTGCGTCCACCTTCTCCCTCCTCATCAGAGTCAGAGAACTCTTCTTCACAGGCAGTTCGTTTGTCAGAGGAAGATTGAGATGCGTTTGTCAGGGTCTTCTTCATCCTCATCCCACTTTCCTCCGGGATGGCATCCTCAGGAATTACCTGCATTTGAACTCCAGGTGCATGAGGGAGCATTCTTACGTTCTCAAATAGTCTTTGTTTGATCTTCTCCAAATACTCATTTGTGTTCTGGTTGGTCATATTGGAAGGACTGATGTGAAGTTTAAAATCTGGTCCAAAGTACTCAAAATAGTCATTGTATGGAAGCTCATTAGGAATGTCTGTGCTCAGGGCCACAGCTGTTTCGTATGTCCAGCATCGGGCAACATTACGAGTGGTATAGCCAGCTCCTCCCAGCATCAGCATCGGCAGATTGAAATTCCTCACGAATTCCACACACTTGGCATGCCCTTTGATGGTCAAATTGAAACAACCTAATCGATCCCCAGAGAGGGAGTCTGGGCCACACTGTAGGACGACTGCACTAGGTTGGAACGTCTCCATTACTTTGGATATGACCGGCCTGAAAATGGCCTCATAGGACTCATCATCAATCCCATCTCGGAGCGGGTAGTTAACGGCATAGTACTTGCCTTTGCCAGCACCAACATCCCGTAAGTCCCCTGTTCCTGGGAAGTACTCTCCATACTTATGAAAGGACACAGTCATGACCCGGTCTGTGGTATAGAAGGCCTCTTCCACGCCATCACCATGGTGAATATCAATGTCAATATACAGCACCCTCTGGTGATACTTTAGCAGTTCCAGGATGGCCAAGACGATATCATTGACGTAACAGAAGCCAGATGCTTCAGACTTCTTTGCATGGTGAAGGCCCCCAGCCCAATTCACAGCGATGTCTGTCTGTTGCTTATTAAGTTTCACAGCACTTGCAACGGAGCCACCAGTAGATAACTGACAGAATTCAAACAGGCCATCAAATACGGGGCAATCCTCACCAACATGGAATCTCTGCATCTGCTTGCTATACTCGGACATGTTTTCTGGGCGGATGGAACGCAAGAATTTAATGTAGTTATCACTGTGGTACTTGGTCATCTCCTCAGCATTGGCTTTATGAGGGCGATAGATTTCCATCTTTCGGTAGAGACCATAGTTAAGCAGCAAATTGTGAGTCATGTGGATCCGGTGGGGCTTCATTGGATGACCTTGTCCATAATAGTAATTTCCAACATCCCCATCGTAGTAATAACAGACTTTCCTCTTGGTGCCTTGAGTCTGCGCCATCTTGCTCGCCTCCAGTGGATTCAGTCACCATTCTTCTCAATGTTAACCATAGTTTATTATGAGCCATACACTTAAATGCCTTTGCACAGTAAATAAAACATAAACAGCCATTCTCCTGGTATTCTCTACTTTCTGCTAAAATCTGTCAGACATCAGCAATGATAGCTATGGTGTCACAGC